CCAAGGCACCTCCACAGGGCCAAAAGCACCTGCTGCTGGGAGCTCCCATCCGTGACTCAGGTCTCTTGACTCTGCCCGTGGGCTCTGCATGCCTAAAAGACCTCACCTGGTCACAGAGGGGCTCCCCCAGGCCTGCAGCAGACACAGCTCCAGCAGCACAGCAGAGAGGCAGCAGCGTTCACCCCTCAGAGTGCCTGGCACCCTCTGACTCCAGCTTGTGCCCCATCAGGTTGGCCCAGGGAGGCAGGAAGAGCTCAGGGCTGTGTTTGCTCCCCGGCAGCTCTCCAGAACCAACCTGGGCTCAAACAGGCTCCGATTTCCTCCAAGCTGTGACAATTCATGCAAGAACTGACGCCCTCCCGCACGGTGACACCAGAGAGCTCGAGCTGTGCGGCCACCACGGGCCAAAAACAGGGTCAGCCCCGTGCTGGGAGCTCCTGCCAGGCACAGCAGCATGGCTGGCCCTGGCTCCAGTGCCACTCACTTACTTTAAAGAAGAGGTAGAGCCCCAGGAGGGTGCAACTGGCAACAATGGGAAAGCGAGCAGCGTCTCGGCTGGTGATGGTCTCCGGCATCTCCGAGGAGTTCTGGGGAGAGAGGACAGGACAGCAGCGGATCAGCCCCTGCTCTGGCTTCACACCTGACACAACAAGAGGGGCTCTGCGGGGGTTTCAAGAGGGACAAGGCAGTCGCTGGCCCCTGCTGTATGCAGAGGTGAGGCCACGCCACAGGCAGCGCCCGAGATGGAAAACACAAACCTTGCACTTCTCCTTCCCAGGGCAACCACAATTCACTGCTTTTGCCCTCTAGGAGAAGGGAAAGAACCCTGTGCTGGCGTTGCTCCTTTCTCCCCTGCCCAGAGGGGAGCTGGGCTCCCTCTCTGCTCACGCCCAGCCGGCCCCATCTGTGCCACCATCTGCGATCACCCTCTGCAGGACGCGTCTCTCCAGCCACCTTCTCGTCCCTCACCCCGCCCTTGGGACACTCCTCGTGCTCAAAAGCCCCAGATTTATAAGCTTCTTCCGAGACATCTTCACACCAGCTGAACCAGACCCTTTCCAAGCCATTTCCCACAGGAGACCTTCAGCTCTCAAAGGAGGTGGAGGGCCTGTTCCCTGCCTGTTCCCAGCCCAGCTGGCGGCTGCTCAGAGATTTAATCTCGCCCAGGCAAACACCTGAGGCCAGCACAGACCGAGGGCACCTCAGCAGAAGCCCTCGTGCAGCTTGTCACGCTGTGCCCAGTGGCACAAGGGTGCCCAAATTCCTGCTGCGTGAAATGAGAAACCCCCCACCAGACCCCAGCCAGGCCCTGCTCACAGTCCCCAGCTGCCCGGGCTGCCAGGAGCCTCCCTAAAATCAGCTGAACCCTGTGATGTGAGGCTTGAGGACACACAAGGAGCTTTTAAAAATAGCAGTAGAACAGACTGTGTAGAACAGTCCTTCCTCCTGGGCTCCAGGAGCCCGAGATTGGGGATTTCTGTCCAGCACGGCGCAGCAGGAGGGGCTGCAGGGGCAGCACGGGGTGTGCGGGTAGGAGGGCACCCCCGGACCAGCCCCGGTGCTGCGGAGCGTGGGGCAAAGCCACACACGAATCCCCCCCGGCACAGCTCCTCTCGCGGGGAGACAAGGGACGAGTTGTGTTTTGCACCACTTGAATTTATCAGGGCAGCGAATTTATCAGAGCAGCCCCGGGCCACGCCAGCTCCCTCCCCGGGGGATCCCCAGCCTCTCCAGGCCCACCAACGGCTCCGGGGCGGGCGACACGCAGCGGAGCGGAGGGGACGGGGGGGCCTTGAGGGAGGGGACGGGTGGTGTGGGAGCGGGGGGGCGAGGCCTACAGGCCCGTCCGCCCCCCCGGTGGGGGCCGCGGGGGTACCTTGCTCTTGGCGCAGCTGACGGAGCGCAGCGCCCCGAAGAAGATGGGCAGCAGCGCCATGAGGACGAGGCTGCCGTAGGCCAGCGCCATGCCCTCGGGGGTGGCGGGCGGGCGGGCGGCCCCGGGCGCGGCCCCGGCGGCGCTGCCGTTGTGCGCCGCGGGCTCCTCCATGGCGGCTGCTCCCACCGCGGTCCGCGCCGACACGTCCCCCTTACCGGCCGGAAGCGCGTCACGGCGCGGCGGCGCTGAAGCCGGACACGCCCCCCCCCGCCGTTTGCCAGGAGAAGGGCAGAGTCCGGGAACTGCACCGGGACAACCCCGGGACCCTCCCGGGAACCCCTCGGGACCCCCCGCCCCGCTCCCAACGGGGCTCTGCCTCCCGGCCCGCCCCTCCCTGCGCACGCCCCGCCGGGTGGCGATGCCCGGGTGGTCCCGGCTCCCCAGAGCGGGGAGGTGGCACCTCGAGGCCACCCCTGGAGTGCCGTGTCCAGGTCGGGGCCCCTCGGGTCAGGAAGGATGTGGAGGGGCTGGAGCGGGTCCAGAGAAGGGCAGCGAGGCTGGGGAAGGGACTCGGACACAAGTGCTGTGAGGAGAGGCTGAGGGAGCTGGGGTTGTTTAGCCTGGAGAAGAGGGGGCTCAGGGGAGACCTCATCACTCTGTACAGCTCCCTGACAGGAGGTTATAGCCAGCTGATTCTATGGTTCTGTGATGCCATCAGCCTCCTGGGCTGCCCTTCCATCCAGCCCTGGGTTTCCCTGCCCTTGGCTGTTCTCCAAGGGCCAACCCTTCCTGTCTTTGGGAATTCCACCCTGACCTCTCCCAGCCCACCCCAGCAGTCACGCAGGCAAGAGCCCCCTCTGGTAAAAACGCCTCGTAAAGGGCAGGGAATTCTCCCCTCCCCCTGGACCAGGGCCAGGGCTCTGCTGGAAAATTGGCTGAAATGTGTGTTTTCCTCACAAATATTCCCAAGCTACTGGCAGCCCGGCTGTGCCACTGAGCTCCTCCTCCTCCTCCTCCTCCTTCTCCTCCTCCTCACTGGGGCGAGGGTCTGCTGAAAAGCAAAAATTGCTAAAGGTTTGGGCACAGTGAATTGGTGCTGCCCCAAGTTTAGATCTGAGCCGTGGGCAGGGGATGGGAGCACAGCAGGGATTAAAATGCAAGTCTTTAATGTTTTAAAAATGTTTTCTTTCTTTTTTTTTTTCCCAAGTGAAAGGAGTCTATTTCAGGAGCGGGGTGATTCACAGTTCCGTGTTTCAGGCGGAGGGCAGATGGGAAGGCCTCCCGGGAGCCCCTCTCTGCGGGGCTGGCATCCTGCCTGGGCTGCTGCCCTCTCCCTGTCACTGCTGGTCCCACAGAGGAGCACAGGCAGCAGCAGGCAGGGTGCCAGCACATCCCCTGCTGCCTCCCACCCTGCTGCCTGCAGTGGTCCTGCCTGGCACGGCGTGGACTGGCACAGCACAGCTCCTGGCCCCCTCACTGACCCCCTCACAGACCCCTCTGGGTGCCCACCCCACCCTTAAACCCCAGCCTGGCTTGGGAATCCTCACAGAGTGCCTGTTCAGGGAGAGCTGGGCAGTCTAGGGTTGGTGTCCCTCTGTGGCCACGTCCTGGCCAGGATCCAGCAGGGCTCCTGATCCCAGGGAAGTGGCGAGCAGGGCACCGGGGGGAATGGCCACCCAGGGACGGATGGCACTGGGACAGACAGCACTGGGACTGATGGCCACCCAGGGAGGGATGGCACTGGGATGGGTGGTACTGGGTTGGATGACACAGGATGGATGGATGGATGGCCACCCAGGGAGGCATGACTCTGGGATTGATGGCCACCCAGGGACAGATGGCACCCACCCCTGGGTGGGTGGCACTGGGATGGATGGATGGATGGCACCAGGGTGGATGGACCACCCAGGGAGCGATGGCACTGGGACAGGTGGCCACCCACCCACAGATGGGACTGGGGCCCATGGCCACCCGGGGGGCAGATGACACTGGGATGGATGGCACTAGGATGGATGGCCACCAAGGGATGAGTGGCACTGGGACTGATGACCACCCAGCAGTAAAATGGCACTGGGATGGATGGATGGATGGATGGCACTGGGGCCAATGACCACCCAGGGAGGGATGGCACTGGGATGGCTTTGAGAGCACTTGCTGGAGGGGCCGGTGCCACCGATCCCCAGCATTACCCACCCCAGGTGTGGGCCCAGCTGGGGGCCACAGGCCTGGACCCCCCCACCAACCTCCTCCTTCCACCCTCCCTCCGTTTCCCAGCCCCTCGCCGTGGCCCCCCTTGGCCTCTCCTCCCACCCTCCAGCATGGCCACATTTTTCTGGGTTTGAGCTCATTCTTTCCACTCCCCTCTCTGCCGGCTGCCAACTTTCCATCCCGTGGCCCCCCCCGCCGCCTCCTGCCGCAGGGAAACGCTGGCTGCAGCTGCGGGAGGGACCAGCAGCAGCAAGGAGCCCCTGTCCCAGGGGTGCAGCCCTCAGCCCCGGCGTGGCTGACGCCGTGTGAACCACAGCATCGCCTCCGGCAGCACCAGGAACCGGCGTGCCGGGAGCTCCGGGGCGGATCAGCTGGAGCAGAGCAGCAGCAAGGAATGAGCAGCAATGCCATGGTCACCAAGCAGCACGGAAAAAAAGCTTCCAAGGACAAAGCTGGCAGGGAGAAGCCCTCACTTGGGGTTGCACCTCTGGAGAGCTGTTTTCCCACAGGGGAAGGGCACTGCCCAGTTCCAGCATCCCGTTTGTGCCGGTCACAGCCAGTGGTTCCCCACGCTCTGGCCACAGAGCGAGCGGAAACTCCTGACCCGAGTGGGAGGGCACTGCTGATCCTCCCTGGCCCTGGGCCCGGGGTGCTGAGCAGGTTTCCCTGTGGCATCCTGGCTGCAGCACGGCCTAAAAACAGGCAGAGCCCCCCGGGGTCGCTCGCTGCTCGCTGCAGCCAAGCACGTCCCTTCCTGCCCATGCCATCCCTCAGCTCCTGCTCCCTGCCTCTTCCAAGGGTGGCCAAAGGAAGCCCCAGACAGAGGCTCTCCCTGCCCCAAGATATTGCAGCTAATGGAGATGTGGCTGGCCAAGGCCTGGCTAGAGCAGGAGGCAGATGCTCTGCCCTGGCCACAGGTAAGGAACAGGGCTTCAATCCTGCCATGTGGCTCTGGGATGTGGCTCCCCAGGGCAGGGACCCAGCAGAGACCAGCACCTCCCTGCTGTGATTTATTCTGCAGATCGAGGGTTTCCCCGTTGCACCAGTACAGAGACAGCACAAAACCCTCCATCCGAGAAACACTGGTGCCAGGGACACATGGCACAAAGCCCTGGCACAGCAGGGCTGGTGTGCCAGGCGATGCTGCAGGTGTTCCCCTGTCCCCTCTTCCCGGCCAGGCTCCATGATGTCCAAGGTGGACACTGCTATGGTGCTCCCGTCAGACCCTATGGCCTGCAGAGGACGGGCACCACAAGCAAGACCTGCCATGCTCCTGGCAGCCTCCAGCCTTGCACTGGGGCATGGCTACCCCTCACCTCCAGCTCCCCAGGAGCAGCTGGGATCCAAAATCCCACCACCCCAAGCGCAGGTACCTGTCCCACCCTCCGCTCCATGGACTCCATCCCACTTGTCCCCTCTCCTGGAGAGGAAGCATCCAGATCCACGGCACCTCAGCAACCCTCAGCACTGGTGAAAACAGCTCCATGTCCTCAGCATCGCTCCAGTCCTGTCTGGGCTCTCCATGGAGCCACTGGCCACGCTGCTGGAAGAGAGGAGAGTCCCAGCTGGCGTGTTCGGAGGGACGGGATGGCGGCTCTCAGAGCACAGACAGGTCGTGGCAGGACTTGGAGCGGACTTTGAGGGCCCCCTTGCTGCTGTTCCTGGCCACCAGCCTGTCGAGGAAGTGCCGGGCTCTCCTGCTGAGGCTTTCCTTGTGCCTCTGGCCGGGCGCAGGGTGCGGGTGGGACTCCTTTGCCCCGCGGCGCAGGCGGATCTGCCGCACCACCCCCTCGAAGAGCTCGTCCACGTTGTGCTGCAGAGCCGCCGACGTCTCGATGAACTTGCAGTCGAACACGGCGGCGCAGGCCCGGCCCTCTGCAAGGGAAGAGCAGGGAGGGGGCACGGCCCCGCTGGCACCCCGGGCGCTGGGGGACGGGCAGTGCCACCTGCGCGGCAGCAGCTGCACATCCAGGGACGAGGGGACAGATGTGTGGGGGAAGCAGCTGGGCATGCATCCCACCACCCCCCAAGGGGGGTCCTCACCAGCCAGACCCCTCATCGCCCGCTCACCTTCGACGGAGACCTCGCGGCACCGCACCAGGTCGGTTTTGTTCCCCACCAGGATGATGGGGATGTCCTCGGCCTGGCGCGCCCGGCGCAGCTGGATGCGCAGCTCCGAGGCGCTCTCGAAGCTGCCCCGGTCGGTGATGGAGTAGACGATGACGTAGGCGTTCCCCACCTGCAGGCACTGGCGGCGGCTCCGGCTCTCCTCACCCTGCCACCCCATGGGGAATGAGATGTCACCCCTCTGCAGGGGCTGCTGGCAGCTGTGACCACTGCCAGAGGACAGCAGAGCACCCCAGCAGCCCCTGCACTGTGGGGAGCAGACATGTGATCCTATTACAAAATGCAGATCAAAAGGTCTTGATTTTGGGGGGTGTTTGAGAGGTTCCTTCTCCATCAGCGACAGATTGGGGCTGTGAGCTCAGCTCGGTGCTGGGAGCTGAGGCTGTGTCTCCTGGGGCCTTGCTGGGATGTGCAACAACGGTGTTGTGGGAGCTGCACCCCCTATGAGCCAAGCACCAGGCGCTGCTGGACAGGGTGGGAATAATCCGTAGGGGAATGAAATGGCCATTGTCAGGGTGTTAAGGTACTGGAGCATCTGCAGGCAAACACAGCCCCAGCCCATGTGAGTGCTGCCCCCTTGTCCACAGCCTGGGCACTGGCTGCTCCATCCCTGCTCCTGGGGACTGGTGGCACTCGCAGGAACTCGGGGCCCTGGCATGAAGGGAAGGAGGGAGGTGTTTGGAGGGAGGCAGTGACAGCAGCGCTGGCATTTCTGCCCAGGAGGTACCTCATGTGCTGGGCCAGAGGAATGCCCTGTGCCAGGCTCTCAGGGCCACCACTCTGCCCTTGAAGCATGCGTTCTGGCTGGTGGCCCTGTCTCACGTGGATTTACCCAGTTGGCTCCTTCAGCCCCATTCCCAAACCAATTCCACGCATTTCAAAGTGGGCTGGCACCACAGTCCTTCCCCACAACCCACTCTTCATCACCACATGCAAGCCCCTTATGTGAGGGGTCCCTGTGCCCACACTGGTGAGAACACTGCAGGCAGCCCCCCATGCCAGGGAAGGGTGGGCACAGAGCTGGGCAGAGATGTGACCCCAGCCTGTCTGGCCCAGCATGTGGCCCCCGCTCTGCAGTGAGGGCAGTGGTGAGCCCTGGACACGGCCGGGGAGCCCCAGGCTGCCCTTTGCAGTGCTCAGAAGCCTCAAAACAGCAGCTGTACCCGTACAATGTCCCCTGGGCACATCCCGGCTCGCCCAGCCCCCCGCGGCCCCCGGCCCCCCGTACCCGCTGCTCCGGCTCCCAGATGTCTAGCACCAGCAGCGTGGTCTCCTCTCCATCCACGGTCAGCGTGCGCTCGTACGCGGCCTCTGCGGGACACCGGGAGAGCCCGGTCGGTGCCGCGCTGCCCGGACAGCCGGGCCCCGGGCTCTTCTCTGCCTCGCACACTGGTTTCTCCCACCACAGGGTGTCCCGCGGGGGGTGACCCTCCGGCAGATCCCCCCACCAGACACCTACCTCCGTGCTGCTCCAGCAGGTCCCGCTCCTGAACGCCAGCGAAGAGATTGACCAGGCTGGTCTTGCCGACGCCGGGGTCGCCCAGTAGCACCACCCGGTACCGGGGCTCCCGGGGCCCGGAGGAGCCCGAGGAGTCGGAGGACCAGCTGCCGCGGGGGGCCCTGCCGCCCGGCTCGGAGGCGGTGTGGCCGAGCTGGGGGTGACAGGGCTCTCTCCGAGAGGTGGCCCCAGTGCCCCCCGGCCGCGGGAGGGGGGTGCTGGCCCTCCGCCGCAGCGGGCTCCTGTTCCCGGGCTGCGTGTTCAGGGTCATCACCGGCACCGAGGGCAGAGGGGACGGACGGTGGGCGGGGGGGGTGCGTGTCACCCCGAGGGGCACAGGCTCCCGGTAGCTTCCGATCGCGCCGCTCCCGCTCCTGGAGCCGCTCCCGATCTGAACTGGCAGCAACTCGGGCACAACTCCCCCTGGACGGCCGCGCTTCGCCCGCCCCGAACTTTAAGCCCCGGGAGGTGGAGCCCCTCGCCTCGCCGGTCCCTCCCCCGCCGGACACACCCCCGCCCGCACCGGCCCCGGCCCGGCCCGGCCTGCCCTGTCCCGGTCCCCGAGGTCCCCGCGGGGCTTGCGGTGCCGGGGAACGGCGACTTCCTCAGGGATGCATCCCCTCGGTCCCCGGCAGCAGCGGTCCAACAGGGATGCCGCGGGATGTGCTGCCGTGGGCGGGGGCTCTGTCACTCTCCATTCCTGTGTGAGACAGGGTCCCCCAGGTCCCTTTATGGCACCTTTACTGTGCCATAAAGTCATATTAACGAGTGGCCAAGGCACTGAGCAGGGCTGGGGGAAAGAAGGGCTGATGGCAACAGAGGCAGCTCGGCACCTCATCCAAGCCTGCCTGATCCGGGCCCTGGGAGAGGGACCAGTGTCACAGGAGTGGTGTCTCCTTGGTTGGGGTGCTGAGGACCACCTGGGTACCTGGTGTGCACCTGAGAGAGGGGAGAGTTAGGAGGGACAAAGCACAGAGCAAGAACGAGCCGCTGCACTTTGACTGTTTCAGTGTGAAGAGGAGGAGGAGAAGCAGGAGTGTGGTGACTGCTCAGATACTTGGTGCTCAGAGGGGTCCTGTCCCTGCATGGCAGCCCCATCATCAGGGGGCACAAGGTGGGTGGAGGGAAGCCTGACTTGTGTCAGCTGTGCCACCCTCTCGATGCCCCCAGGGTCCTGGACTGGCGTGCAGTGGGGAGGGCCCAGATGCTTGTTCTGGGACCCAGGACCACTCAAGCAGCTGGGAAAGCAGGAAAACACTTTAAAATGGGGTGAGGGTTGTGCGCAGTTCCTGTTCAGTGTGAACCAGTGTCCAGCCCGATCCCCAGCCACCCCAGCAGTAATTTTCTCACCCCTCATGGTTGGCCCCAGCCACTGACCACTCTGATGAGAACCAAAATTGGTTCCAGCCCAAACCCTGCTCTACCACCCTCACATCACCCTCTGCACAGCAGGCTCAGTGCTCACAGGCCTTCCTGGAGCATCAGAGCCAGGCACAACCCCTGGGGCTCTGAGGGGGAGAAGGAATGAATTCAGACACTCTCACTGCCAATCCTGAAAGACAAACATAAGTGGAGAAAGCCCCGTTGGAGCAGCTGGGTACATCTGCTTTCTCGCAGCGAGGACAAGTGCGGTGAGCTGGGCTTGCTCAGAGGTGTCTCATCCATCTTGTCTCAGCCCAGGACAAACTGTGCATCCAGGGAGCCCCAGCACAGGGCTCAGAGCTGCTGGTGAAGTCTGCCTAGGGCCCCTGGAATCAGGAGGATTTTTTAAGGAGGGGAAGCTGAAAAGCAGACATGGGAGGTTGCAGCCCCTCTGGGCTCCCCACACTTCCAGGGGCATGCAGTGGCACAGGGAGGGCCAGCACGAGCCCTGTGCTCCTCTGCACTCTCACACTCCCAGGCCAAGCAACCCGTGGCTGATTTTTCTCCTTCTGGAAAAAAAAATCCGGTGTCTGGAAGCAAAGGGTTAATCAGCAAAACGAAGGGCTGGTGATGTCGTGTGAAAAGTTGCAGGGAGGTCAGTGGGAAAGGGCTGAGGATGGTGGAGAGGGCTCTGGCACGGGCTCCCGCCTGTCAGGGCGGGTAAGCACCAAATGCCTGACTTGTGATGTTACAGAAACTTTCCACTTGGGCCTTCCTGCTATTTTTAACTCTTCTCCCAGCCACCCTCAATAACCCCAGCCCCACCAGCTGCAGAGGCTAATTAATTCCCCTTTTTTATCATTTTTTTAAACATTTAAAAAATTAGGTTCCACTAATATATCATGCAGTCGCTCTCCTCGTTCTTCCTGATGCATTCCATGCCTCCATAGCTGCAGCCACAGCTGTCTTCCAGCTAAAACCCAGACCCCAGTGCAGAAGATCCAGCCCCTTTTGTTGCCGTGGCTCTGCTGGTGAGTGTCTGCCCAACCAGATGATATTTTCATGGAAAATAAGCCTGGTGTGTGCCCGGGGTGTGGAGGAGTTGGGGGCTGGCCTGCACCTGCAGAGGCAGGACACACAGGGAAGGAATGACCCCGTGAGCAGACCCCCTGAGCACAGCCTGCCGCTGTCACGGGGCTCTCTCCCTCCTGGCAGGCTGACGGGAAGATCATCCCCGCAGAGCAAATGGGATTCGTTCTCAGAAATGGAATTGTTTGACATTTATAAGATCAACACAGTGTCTTCAACCGAGTGGGATGGAAAGCAAAGGTAACACGACTGTATAGACTCATTTCACAGTGATGTGAGCAACTCGCTTCCCAGATTATTTTCCATTGTTTTTCCCTTTCCTGGAGCTCTGCCCTCGCTATGTCCAGCTGGTTCTGCCTGCAGTTCTGCCCCACCACCTTCACCCTCTACACAGGGAGAAACCCAGTCACTGCTCATTCCACAGAGCTGGGAAACATCCCCCTGCACCATTCCTGACCTTCCCCTCAGGCGCTGCAGCTCGCACTGGCAGCACTGAGGAATCTGTCACTGTGCCTGGTGCCACCCCTCAGAGAGCTGCTCTAGGGAGCAGAGCGGTGCTCCAGGAGCCAGCTGGAGCCTGGGATGGTATGGACGGGTGGATTTCGGCTGTCGCAGGGGCGATGCTGCAGCAGGCTCGCCCTTTTGTCCCTTTGCCCCCTGGGACACCCCTACACCCTATTGCTCCTCATCATCCTATGCCCCCTGGGGACCCCCATGGCCTCCGGAGACCCCCCTTCACCACGGACCCGGGGATGCCGCGTATCCCGGGCCGGTCTCCACGGCGACAGGGGCGGGCCCGGGGACCGGGCGGGGCCCGCGCTCACGGGACCGGGCGGGAGGGGCGCCCCCTGCCGGCTCCGCCTCGGCTCCGCACCGGGACGGGGCCACCGGGACGGGACCACCGGAACGGGTCGGGGTGCCCGGGCTGGGAGGGAGCTGTGGCAGACCGAGCAGCCCGGCGGGCCGGACGGGGACTCGGCTGCTTGCGGGGCTGCCGGGGCCAGGAGGGAGCAGAGGACCGGCCGTCCCAGGGAGCCCGGGGCGAGGCGGCCCTGGTGCACGGGACCGTGCGGGACCTCCGATTATACCGGGAGAGAGCGGCTTCCCGTGCGAAGCCGCGGTGGATGGTCCTGTGGTGTTCCCCGGGCGGCGGGGCTCCGGGACAGCGTGAGCAGCCGGGGGTGCGGGACAGGCCAGCGGGAGGACAGGCCCCGGGGCAGCCCCCGGTGCCCAGTCTGGCCGCAATGCCGGGGCAGCCCGCAGGGTGGGGAGAGGACACAATTCTCGGTCAGACGGCAGGACCGGGACAGCCCACGGTGCCCGGTGAGGCCACAGGACTGGGACAGCCCGAAGTGCCGCTCAGCCCGCGGTGACTGGGGAGGGTCGTGATGTCCAGTCGTGTCACTGTGCCCGGTCAGCTGTGATGCCCAGACAAGTTGCAGTGCCCGGTGGGGTCACAGTGCCCGGTTACGTATCGGTGCCTGGTCAGGTCCCGGTGCCCGGTGAGGTCCTGGTGCTCAGTCTGCCCCGGTGCCCGGTCTGTCCCAGTGCCCGGTCTGTCCCGGTTCCCGGTCTGTCCCGGTTCCCGGTCTGTCCCGGTGCCCGGTCTGTCTCAGTGCCCGGTCTGTCCCGGTGTCCCGTCTGTCCCAGTGCCCGGTCTGTCCCGGTGCCCGGTCTGTCCCAGTGCCCGGTCTGTCCCGGTGCCCGGTCTGTCCCGGTTCCCGGCCGGGCGCGGCCCCGCGCGCTCCGCTGTCACCACAGCAACTGGCGGCGGCGGCTCAGCCAATGGGCGCGGTTCCCGGCGGGCCCGCGCGCGGTGGCGCAGCCAATGGGCGCGGCCCCCTGCGGGCAGCCCGCGGTCTCCAGGGCAACAGCGCCGCCGCCGCCTCCCCATTGGTGCCGCCCAGCGGAGGGGGCGTGGCCTGACCGGCAGAGGGTGTGGCCCGACCGGGCGGGGCGGGGCCCCACTCGCGGCACCGGGACCGCGTGGTCGCCCCGTGGGCAGCGCGTTCCCCGCACGGCGCTCCTGGCCCCGCTCCCTCCGCCCCGCAGGGAGCCGAGCCCCGGGGAGACGCCGTTGAGACGGCTGGGGGACACACATCCACGAAGGCACCGGTGTTCCCACACCGCGTGGGGCCGAGCCCCAGTGGGCGGCCCGGGGGACGTCCCGGACCAGGCTCTGCCGGGAGGACTGGGGATAGTGGGTGCTTCGGGAGCCCGGCAGGGAAGCAGGGCGGGGTCCAAGAGCAGCATCCCGGGGGAATACTCGGTGTGGCGGTCAGAGCCGTGCCCACGCTCCTGGCGGGCCGCCAGAGGGGGGTGGGGGGGCTCCCGGGAGTGCGGGCGTTGGGGTCACCGGGGACACCGGGGCGCCCAGACCGGGGGGAACAGCGGGTTCTGACAGGAGCTAAAGCATCTCCCCCCGGGTGGGTACCGGGGGGCACGGGGTACCTGTACGCTGAAGGTACCCGGTTTCACGGGGAGTGCTGTGCTGCTCAGGGTGGGGGCAACGGGGGGCTGCACGGGTGCCGTGGGGGCGGTATCGGGGGGGCTGGGTTGCCGGGGTAGCGGGAGGTACCTGGGCGTGCCCGGTGTACCGGGAGGCACCAGAGGGGCTACGGAGTGGTACCGGTGGGTTCCGGGGGGTACCGGCGGTGCCGCCCTGCCATTCTCTCCAGCAACCCCTCTCGGCGGGCGCCCATTGGCTGAGAGGGATGTGCCCCCCCCGCCCGGCGGCCAATGGGTGGCGGGGGGCGTGGACCCCCATTGACAGCCCCGGCGCGCCGGTGTTTACCGGGGGCGGCGGGGGCGGGGCGGCGGCGGCTATAAGAGCGGCACCGGGGGGCGTGCGGCTCCTAGGCTGC